TTTTGCAATTGTGGGCAAAGAACCCAGTGAGTTGTGCTGCCAAGTGTCCCGTGCCGTAACTTTTCTTTTCCCGAGAATATGGGTCAAATTGAGGCACTGGAGCCTCACAGCCGTACTACCTGTTGCTGCAGGAGAGGGTGGGCGGGGTAGAGGGTGGGGTCAGGGAAAGGGGAGGACGGAGGTAACTTGCAACGTGTAACATGTGGTAGCTTACTTATCCCGGTAATTTTCTAGCATGTTTTATTACTGCTCTTCCGCGTTGTTTTATGTATTTTTCTCCTTAGTCTCCCTCTCTCTCTTACTGCCAGTGTCTCTTTATCCATCTCTGTCCTCTGTCTCTCTTTATATAAATATATATATACATATGTGTGTGTAAGTATATATCAGCCTGTTTTTTCTGACCACCCTCCTACCATCTTTCTCTCACTCTCATCCTCTTCTTCTTCCTCTTTTCTCTCTCTCCTATGTCCCCAGCCTGACCCACTCCGCGCCCTTTTACTTCTCTCTCCAGCCAGTCAGCTCTCGAAGGCTGCAACATAAAAAGAAAATAGGCACAAATGGCGCCGGCGCTTCTCCCGCCAAATCAGCACACAGCTCACGCACAAGCCCCGGCATTTTTCTCTCTCGGCTTGCATTCTTTTTTTTTCCTTCTCTTTTTTATTTTTATTGGTTTTGAGAACTTTCTCGTTGCGCTGCGTTGCTTCTGCTGAGCAAACCTCCTTCGATCGGACTTCTTTTGAAAATCTTATCATTCGACTGAGAATTTAAAACAGACCAAAAAGGAAAATGTGTGTGTATATATATATATATATATATATATATATATATATATATATATATATATATATATATATATATACGTATATACATATGCATCACTGACATACCTCGCCGAACAGTCCGAAAAAGGTGAAAATCCTGTAAATGCATTGGTGGCAACCGCTGCCAGCCGCTGGCAACCGGGCGGTAAACTTTTTTTCTGCGGTTGACATGCCCGTAAAGGTGGAGACGGCACCTCGGACCTTCTCATTCGCTGCCCACATTCACCCGAGGGCCAACCGCTCACTGGCGAATCATGTTTATTAATATTCTCCCCTCGTTATATTCCCTCATTTTTTCGTCTCGGGTGACCCATATATCCGATGATGGAAATCAGATTATAGCGCTCGTGACCTTTTTCTCTCTCTTTTTAATTTTTCGTTCTCTTTCGGCAAATCTCTGGAGGTTAATGTGTTGTTAGATATGTCATACAAAAAGACATTTTGCTTAAGAAGCCTTCCAATCTTCGAGTTCACTACCTAGCATTTGATACCTGTTTCTTTTTTTTATTTTTACTCAGATCCAGTTAGTTTCTTGCATTATTTGAAGATTTAGATCTAGCCAAATTCTCTCTCAGATAAATGGGTATCCTCTCATTGATTTCTATATATTTCCCCCGTAACGTTTTTTTTTTTCTCTTTCCAATTCATTCTACTTTATAATCTATCACATAGTAATGTCCTCTAATGCATCTAATTAACGTTAATATCCGTGTAATGTTTTTTTCCGCTAGCTTAACGCTGCCCTTTCTCTTCCCCAGATAAGTATGGTCCTGACGGTGGTCGGGGTGCTGGCGCTGGCCGACAAGCCCCCGACGGGCCCGGAGGTCCACCACATCACGGGCCAAGAAGGCTTCGACTCCTTTGGCAAGACCGTGGCCGGCACGCCCATCTACGGAGGCGTAAATCACGATATCGGCGTCGCCAGCCACCCCGTCAGCTATGGCCACGCCCCCTCCCACGGCTATGCCGCCCCTCCCCCCTCCCACGGCTACGGCGCCCCTCCCCCCTCCCACGGCTATGGTGCCCCTCCCCCCTCCCACGGCTACGGCGCCCCTCCCCCCGTCCAGACCGTGTACATCGCCTACGAGCCGCCCCAGCCTGCCCCTCAGTACCACGTCAAGGTCAAGTCTAATCCTCTGAAGGAATTGGACAAGAAGATCAAGGATTACGCTTCCAAGTTCACCAAGTTCAGTGAGTATTTCGTGTAATTTCCTTTTGGTTGAAATGACGAGTAAGACTTTTCAAAAGTACGAGATATTCTCCATTTTCAAAGGTGGGCTTTGTCAAATTTCTGTACATACCTCTTCCTTTTTTTTCTTATTTATATATGTCTCACGTGTGTATTTTTTTCTCCTTTGCTTCTTTCCCCCAAATCGCAGTCTCAAAGGGTTTCAAGAAGGACTACAAGAAAGAAGGTGATGACTATTACCAGCCTTCCTATCCTACCTATCCTACCTATCCTGTTTACCATCATCAGCCTGCTCGTTACTATCCTCGGGCTCCTGCTCCTCACTATGCCAAGCCTCCTGCTCCTCACTATGCCAAGCCTCCTACTACTTACTATCCTCAGCCTCCTAAATATGGCTCATACCACTAATGGAAATGAGCCAAAGGTCCATTTTCTCTGCCAGTATTACATTAATCGAAATTCTGGTGTGTACTTGAGTTTAATCCTGTGCGCATTCAGCTACTTCATTGCCTCTTCTTCTTCATGATATCGTATCTTATCCGTGTATGAAATTATGTATTCTTTCTTTTGCCTTGTAAACTCTTGGTTATCCCCCCTCACCCCCCTTTCTCTTATGTCTTGATATTTCCATCCATTCCCTCCTCCTCTTTCTCCTGAACCTCATCCTCGGCCCATCCTTCCTCTTCCCCTCTTGCCTGCCCTTCGTCCTCCTCTCCCTTCTCCTCCTTTTTCCTCCTTTCATGCTTCCACCTTCCCCGTCATTCTCGACCTCCTGCTTCTCCCATCCTCCCCTCTCTCATCCCCCTCCTCCTCCCTCTCCTCCTTTTCCTCTTCTACTTCCTCCTTCTCCTCGTCCTCTCCCTATCCTTAAAAAATCCACAAGACCAACGCATCGTTCTACAGGAAGCTCACTCTCTCTCACCTACCTCAAGTTGTCTCGAAGCTCAGATGAAGCTGACTATGCTTCAGTATGATGCACACTGTCATTCCATTAATTAATTACCATTCATCAAATGAAGCTCATCTTTGACTGAGCTTCGAGATAATATTTAAAATTCATCATCTATGCATTTGAAACTTAGCAGAATTATCATGTCCATTATTGTAATACTATGCATACAGAATGTTCTAATAATATGTATTATTATGCCATAAATATAAATATTATATCCTACCATCCACTTGTACATCCTTTTAAATCGAAAAATAATACCTTGTATTCATGAATTCATAGTTATACAGTATGTTGTTTATTTCATACTTTACATTATATTTATCTTCGCTTTCTTGGTAACTGAGCACAAAGTATGAGCTTATGACCAGAAATAGGAATAGCAGAAATAACTGAAAAATGTGACTGTAAAAAACGATCATAGTTACGATAAAGACAAAAGATAATGAAAATAATTAAAGTTAGTAACAAGCAGCATTATATCTAATTTGTCAAGTTGACAGTAATGACTACTACTTAAAGAAAAATGAAAGTAGAGATAACGGAGGTTAATGATCTGGCAATTAAAACAAGAACTATTTTATGACTAATCGGTAACATCATTACCTGTGATACGTGAATACATTTTTAGATTTTCAAATCTTACCCAACACATATTCGTCGACATACGAGGTATTCCGAAATATTACTCGACCTTTGGTTATATAATAAAAACCGTGCTTGTCAAACTGAAACTTTAATCCCTTACAAATCAAACCTCTTGGCTTTGATCACAACTGGGCCATCGGTCTTCACACTGCTGGAAATATTTTTCAAAATGTTTTTTTTGAGATCACATGTTGCCTCTTCGCGTCTCCATTCATGTAAAAGCACGCTCTAGAAAGACAAAATACCTTTAAGGAGAATTATTATTCGTCTACTTCTACGTGTAGTGCTTCGCAAAAAGACCTCATTTGCAGGCAACGTCAAACTGTTGCTTTCATCATAAAACTGTCGCTGTCAAGGACACATTTATTAAACCGCGACGAGATAGCCTAGATGATCTCAGGAATGGAATTCGAGAAATGTTTCAAGCAGAAGAGTAATTGTACTGAGTGTGTGAAGGGGCAGGTGCTCACCCTACACGGAATAAAAGATTCGTAAACTAAAGAAGAGCAGTTTTCGACTCATAGCTAAATATCGAATACTTCCTATACTCTGCATATCATTAAATAAATCACATAAACCGCGTTATCACACACTGGGAAATCACACACACACACACACACACACACACACACACACACACACACACACACACACACATATATATATATATATATATATATATATATATATATATATATATATATATAAATGTGTATATATATATATATATATATATATATATATATATATATATATATATATATATATAAATGTGTGTGTATATATATATATATATATATATATATATATATATATATGTGTGTGTGTGTGTGTGTGTGTGTGTGTGTGCGTGTGTGTGTGTGTATATGTGTGTATGTATATGTATGTATATAAACGAATGCATACATTTATTATGTATGCATACATTATATACATACATACATATGTATATAGATATATATATATATATATATATATATATATATATATATATATATATATATATATATATATGTATGTATATATAGACAGATAGACTGATATATAGATAGATAGATAGATTGATAGATAGACAGGCAGACAGAAAGACAGATAGATACATATAGATATATATATGCATATTCATCTTCACATCTTATATATTTCTCCAACCTCCACTTTTTCATTCTACACCAAACTTGAACTTAAATTCCGTTTTCTTTTTCCTCTGTTTTTTTTTACGGAATGCGATCTGGCGCCAATTCCTCACGGGTATGCCGAGACGCGGAGTTTCAACCTGGAGCCGAAAGAGATAAACCTTCTGCAAAGGAAACAGTAAACGCATAATTTCTCACCTATTTTTTCGTTGTTTTTTTTCTAGTGTCAGACTACATGGACCTTAACACCTACTCAGAGGAGTCCTACGAGCCTGTGTACGTAGCCCCCGCCCAGTCCTACGGTCCGCCACCCACCTCCTACGGTGCTCCCCCTACGTCCTACGGCCCTCCCTCTCACTCCTACGGCACCTACGAGGCTTACGAGGCTCTCCCTATCTACGAGGAGGAGGAGGAGTCCTTAGGGAAGAAGATCGCCAAGGGCTTCGAGAACGCGAAGAAGACGATGGCCAAGTGGGAGGAGAAGGCGAGGAAGAAGGTTAAGGAATTCTGTAAGTGTGGATTTTTGTTGTTGTTTTTTAATTGTTGTTCCTAGTTTTGAAGGTCTGTTTGTACTTGTTTTGTTTTGTTGTTGTTGTTTAAATCAGTTATCTCATTTCTAGCTAAATCCTTCATCTCTGTATCTTTTTCTTCCTCATTCCAGTCAGCTACGACGAAGAGCCAGAGGAAGTCTACTACGAATACGCCCCCGCCCCTGTCTACCACGCCCCCGCCCCCTCGTACCACGCCCCCGAGCCCGTTTACCACGCCCCGCCCCCCACCCACTACGGTGCTCCCTCCGTGGGCGGCGGCGGAAAGGGCAAGGGCGGCGGCAAGGGCTTCGGAGGCGGTCTCTTCGGCGGCGGCTTCGGTGGCGGCTTCGGCGGCGGTCTCAAGGGCGGCCTCGGCGGTGGGTTCAAGGGTGGCTCAAAGGGCGGCAAGGGCGGCAAGGGCGGCGGACACTCCATTGGAGGCGGTGGATACCAAGCCCCCATCATTCAGCCCACCTACGGCGCCCCTCCCCCCACCTCCTACGGCCCCCCACCACAGCCCCCCTCAAGCTCCTACGGCGCCCCTGTCGACCACCACGTCCCTTCAGGACACCACGCCCCCATAGCACACCACGGCCCCGTCGTGCCCGATCACGGCTCCTCCTCCTACGCCTCTTAAGCGCAGGATCCCCCAACCCTTTCCCCTTTCCTTCTCCCCCCCACCCCGCCCCCTACCCCCTACGCAAACGGCCCCGCTCATGTGCTCTGTGTCTTCCTCTCGCCTCCTCCTTCAGACAGGAAAACCGCTTGAACTGCGTCTCTCCCCAGGAGACGACGATGAGCCTCTTCCACTGCATGGTTGTGATAGTCCAAATTGCTCTCTACTTCTTTACTGACTCCGAGCTGCGTGGGAGCGCCTCTGCCTGTAATTCCCTTCTGTCTTCTTTTCCTTTCTTTTCCTTCTCTTTCTCTTGTTTTCCCCTTCTTTCTCTTCCTCCGTTAACTCCACATTTCCTTTCTCTTATTCCTCTCTCTCTTTCCTCTTCCTCCTCTTCCTCAAAGAAAAACGGAGGACTTTTACTAGCTTGGACTAAGGTACAGCGAATATTTCTCTCGTACAAACAATAGATGTCAAAATTTAAAAAGAAAAGAAACAATGATTCATATACCACTGCCAGAATACAGTAGTATATCCTTTCATCTCCAAAAAAAGATCGTGTCTTCCGTTTTCTTTAGCCTCACAGTTCCCCCTCGGTGTGCCTGTTTGATTACAAATATTTTCTAGAATAGATATGTTTTAGGTTATTTTCATAAGCATATTAGAGCTGCGCTAATGTTTCTTTTTATCTTGCTAGTCAAGATTTAACATACTATATTAGTTAAAATTTGCAAAAAAAAAGAAAAGAAAAAAATGTTATCATTACTAACCTAGTATTTTTTGTTATATTTTCATATATTTATAAGAGAGGAATCTTTAAATGATAATCTCTACCAGAGTTAAGTTGCAACAGTTAATTTATCACAAGAATTCGCTTGTAGTACCGTGGGAACTTTTATGGAAATAAGCATAAAAGTTTGATCTTTAACCTGAGCCAAACCACGTACTATAAATGATGACTTTATGTGTATGCTTGGTACTTTATAGTTTATTACCTGTAAAAAATGAAATTTCCGTTTTTATTTGTATCTATCTATCTATATATGTATATGTATATCTTTTCCCCTTAGTTATTTCCACTCTCAACTGTTCACTGAAAGTTCAAAAAAGAAAATAAAACCTTCAGCTAAGATGGCGTTGGTTGTGGGCAAAGAGGCACAGCTTATTTTCACCATTCAGGGATTTAATTAAAAGTTTTTCTTTGATTTCTTTTTTAACTTTCTTCTTGTTTGCCATTGTTTTCTTTTTCCCAATTCTGTTTCTTTTCGTTTATTATAAAAGTAAGTCACAAGTGACAAACTTCACAGTATTAGTGCAGCTGGCGCCTTTGTTCACTTCCTGTGTTTGTTCGTTTGTTTGTTTTTATTTTGTTTTTCTTATTATTTTATTCTACTTTCACTATGTACAGCAAATGTTAATATGTGTGTCTTTTTTGCATCCACACTTATCTGTGTGTGTAAATTTAATCATGTGTATATGTGACATATACATATGTATACACAAATTCTGTGCATGCATATATACATGCATATATACACTGATATGTACCCATTCTATTCTGTAGTGATATACATATTATCATATACATGCATATGAAATATATATATA